TTGGACTGAAAGAGGGCTATCATCTGTAGGGGCAGAAAGCTGTTTAAGAGCCAGTTACATCTTCTAATCCACTTGTGAGGGCTGTGCGTGCCTAGAGATGTGTGTCTGCCTGAGAGGATGAAAAGAACCTACTAGAGAATATAGAACTATTGCGGCTCAGACATCCATGACATTAGTTTCGTGTGATTTGTGGGTATGTAATTGTCAAAATGTGTACATAAGCAACATCCTATTTTACCTTTGAAATCATCTTTGAGTCTCCACCTTGAAGGTTTGATGAGAGGAAGAAGTTAGGGAAATGTGGGTCAAAGGTTACAGAATTTAAAGAAGGAGTGAATTCAAGAGGTCTGTATAGTTATATATTGTATTCTAGAAAAATACGAGAAAATAGAATATAGTGTTACCACAAAATGACAACTATGTGAGATAATGCATATGTTATTGTTTTTTCAATAAGTTTATCGGTACATATCGTTTTTAAGTATACATTATGATTGCATTCATCATTGGGAATTTGTACCTGTAGATGATATATTTTGGTTCTTGTTTTTCCCCCAATCCACCATCCCTTCCTTCCACCCCTCCATCCCTTCCTATTTATAAAGTATTGTTCTGCTTTTTCCTTCTTTTCTAGTAATTTTTCCTTTCCCTCCTTTCCTTTCTCCAAACCCCACCTACTTCCCCTTCCGTTTTGGACTTTTTCTTACTATTTTACATTATCTCTTATACATTTTGGTCTTCATTTACACTTGCAGTTTGTCACACCAGAGAAACTACTCAGTATTTACACGCGTGTCCTACTTACTTCACTTAAGAGTGTAGCCTCACTGTGCATCCATTTAACTATAAATGTCTCTAGTTTATCATTCCTTATGGCTGAGTAATGCTCCATTTAAAAAAAAAATCCAACATCTGTGCAGACTAGTGCAACCACTATGGAAATCAATATGGAGATACCTCAAAGAGCTTGGACTGGAGGTTCCATTTGACCCAGCCATCCCTCTGCTGGATATCTTTCCAAGAGAACTAAAAGAATCATATCACAGAGAAGTATGTGCCCCCATGTTTATAGCGGCACAGTTTGTAATAGCTAAATCTTGGAAACAGCCTATTTGCCCATCCGTTGGAAACTGGATAAAGAAGTTGTGGTTTTTCTATAAAATGGAATATTACTCAGCCATAAAGAACGAGAAAATAGATTCATTCATAGGAAAATGGATACGTATTGAAGATATACTCCTAAGTGAAATAAATAAGTCACACATGTGTAAATACCGAATAGTTTCCCTGGTGTGAATAATCTGCAACAATGCATAAGATCCTAATAAGATTACTGACATTTAGAAATGGGAAGAAAGGAGCTAAAGGTGTAGGGAAGGTGGGATGGGTAGGGGAAGAGTAAAAAGGGAAAAGAAAAAAATGTGAGAGAATGAAAAGATGAAAATAAAGTGTTTGTAGATGGTGAGGGGAGGAGGGGGTGAAGGGAGGGCAGAGGTAAGGGGAAAAAATGAGAATCAAGACTTGTCATGTAGAGGTACAAGATCCCAACAATGAATGTAACTGTACTGTATCCCTAACATGTACCAATAAACTCAATTAAAGCTGAAAAAAAAATCCCACATCTTCTTTTTCCAATCACCAGTTAGTTGATGGGCATTTGGGCTGTTTCCAAGATTTAGCTTTTACAAACTGTGCCCTTATAAAAATAGATGCACTATGAACTTAATTGGTCTGGTATGATGTTTTTAATTTTTTTGGGAAGATACCCAGCTGGGGAATAGCTGGATCAATTGGGACCTCTAATCCTAGTTCTTTGAGGTATCTCCATATTGATTTCCACAGTGGTTGCACCAGTCTGTGTTCCCACCAACAGTGGAGAAGGGTTCCTTTGTCCCCACAGCTCATCAGCATTTGTTATTGGCTGATTTTTTGATAGCAGCCATTCTTTCTGGAGTGAGGTGGTTTCTCAGCATTGTTTTCATTTGCATATCTTGAATGACCAGCGATGTTGCATTTTTTCATGTTTACTTGCTGTTTCTACTTCTTTGAGAAATGTCTGTTCATTTCAGATAATCACTTTTGGATTGGGACTTTAAATTTGGGCGGTCTTTTTTTTTTTTAAAGTTCTTTGTATATTCTAGATAGTAGTACTTTGTCTGAGGAATAGCTGGTAAAAATTTTTTTCCCACTTTGTGGGTTGACTCTTCACTCTGTTAGTTTCTCTTGCTCTGCAGAAGTATTTTAAATAAGATTTGATCCCAGTTGTTGATTCATTGTGCTAATTTACTTGAAACCTAGGTTTTGTTCATAAAGTCTTGCTTGATCTACCCATTCCAGTGTTTGTGTATTTTAAATTATCATGTTGTATATGATAAATACATAGCATTTTATCATTTTAAAATATACAAATACAGTTTTTAAAAATTTAAAAGATTTGATCATGACAGTGTCTTTGAAATGTAGTTTGGAAATACCATGGCATCATAGATAGCTATACACACAGATATCTGTAAACTGTATGGATAATTCTAAAGTAATTCATTGTACTGTAATTTGTAAAAAACTTTTTTTTTTTAATTTTTGTTTTTGGTACCGGGGATAGGATTTGAATTCTTGTGCTTGTGAGGCAGGCAGCAGAACACTGAGCTAAATCCCTGGCCCTAAAGACAATTTTTAAAGAATAATTGGGGAACAGCTAGTCTAGAGGCCTCATCCTAAATTCATGAAATAAAATTTCATTTGAAGAATACATATTGTTTTTTCTACTTTATATATTTTTCCATTTTCTTTTTCAATGAACATCCTTATACATAAAATACTTGTATGATTGGCTGGTTATATCTGTGTTATTACTTTCTATAAATATAATTCCCCATCAAAAGTATATGCATCCTAAATTTTAATGCACCAGTTTACATTAGATGGCCTTATAGTTATGTCCATTTACCCCACTCTTGTTGTTGGCAACACAAGTAGATGTTGTTGGCCTAAAATATTAGCTGATACCCTTTTTAAAAAATGGGATGCATGTTGAACCCATAGTATAGTGGCACAGTTTGTAATAGCTAAAATTTGCAAACAGCCCAATTGCCCATCAACTGGAGACTGGATAAAGAAGATGTGGGTTTTCTATTAAATGGAGTACTACTCATCCATAAAGAATGAGAAACTGAAGATATTGACAGCTAAATGGATGCATATTGAGGCCATACTCTTAAGTGAAATAAATAGGACATGTGTAAATACCAAATGGTTTTTCTGTTGTGAAAAATGGAAAGTGTTAATAAGGTTCAAATTGTATAATATTGTGAAATAGAAAGAAAAGGGCTAAGGGAGTAGAGAAGTGGGAAGGGTAGAGGAAAGGAAAGAAGGAAAAAGAAAAAATATGAGAAAAGGAAAAAATGGAAACAAAATTAAAAATAGGGAAGGGTGGAGTGGTTGAAGGGAGGGCAGGAGTATGGGGAAAAACAACCAAGATACATCATGCAAAGGTGCAAGATCCCAGTGATGCATGTAACTGTACTGTATACCTAAAGACTATCAATTAATTTTTTTAAAGATTATTTTTCTTTTATTGAGTTTATTGGTACATTCTAGGTAGACAGTACAGTTACATGCATCATTGGAATCGTGCACCTTTGCATGACAGGTCTTGGTTCTCATTTTTCCCCTTGTCCCTACCCTCCCTTCACCCCCTCCTCCCCTCCCCATTTACAAACACTTTATTTCCATTTTTTCATTTTCTCCTATTTTTTTCTTTCCCTTATTACCTTTCCCCTACCCTTCCCACTTTCTCTACACCTTTATCCCTTTTCTTCTCATTTCACAATGTCAGTTATCTCATTAGGATCTTACGTACTATTACAGTTTATTCATAACGAGAAATATGTGTGACTTATTTATTTCTCTTAGGAGTATATCCTCAATATGTATCCATTTTCCTATGAATGAGTCTAATTTCTCATTCTTTATGGCTGAGTAGTATTCCATTTTATAGAAAAACTGCATCTTCTTTATCCAATCTCCAACTGATAGGCAAATGGGCTGTTTCCAAATTTTAGAGCTATTACAAACTGTGCCACTATAAACATGGATGCACATATATCACTCTGGTGTGATTTTTAAAATTCTTTTGGAAAGATACCCAGAAGAGGGATGGCTGGGTAAAATGGAACCTCTAGTCCCAGCTCTTTGAGGTATCTCCATATTGATTTCCATAGTGGTTGCACCAGTCTGCACTCCCACCAACAATGGAGAAGGGTTCCTTTCTCCGCACAACACCAGCAACATTTGTTATTGGTTGATTTCTTGATGGCAGCCATTCTTTGTGGGGTGAGGTGGAATCTCAGTGTTATTTTCATCGGCATCTCTCTGACCAGTGATGTGGAACATTTTTTCATATATTTAGTTGCTGCTTTTACTTCTTTGTCTGATAAATGTCTGTTGAAACTATACTACAAAGCCACTGTATCAATGAATTTAATTAAAAAAAATGGGATGCATGTGATTCATTATGTCAAACAGTGTTGTTGTCTTATATAATATTCTATATTTATTATTTAAGTACATATTTAGTAGAACTTTAAAGTGATTTAGGGACCAGAAAGAAGTGGGTTTTGTGCTCTTAAGTTACTATCTGTCTGTGATTATTGCAGTGGAAACTAGTGATAGTGACTTAAAGCTTTATTTTTTATTTATTAGGGAGGATATGCAAGTTATTAATAGAATTATTCTACCAGTTCATTTATTTTGGTTCAAAATATTTGTTTCTGTGACATTTTGCACTAATTGGTTCTGCCATAAAAATACAATTATGGTAGACTTTGTGGGAAAATTGCAGTGATAACAGTCTTGAGCATGAAGATGTTTGTGCAATTTCCATTTTCTTCACATTTCTTCAATGTTTAGCTTTTACTGTCTACAGTGCAATGTAACATGGCTTTTAGTCTGCTGTGGATGAATGTCAATAGCAGAATTGTTTGTTTTTTTTTTGCCTAAAGGAGGAAGACATTGATTTTGTGCCCTTGGATGAGACGTGGAAGATCCTGGGCTGCAGCTTTGGATCATCCGCATAGCCCGCATTGTTTTCCTTCATCTACTCCGGCTTTGATGGACATCAGTGACAGTTACCTATACACATGGTGTAATGAAATATTAGAGATGGCTGCACATTCAGAAGAAACCCCATATTATATACCCACATCACAGTTGCTAGCATTCATATTTTTGCAATACTCTTTATTGATTATGTGTAGAAAAAGTGAAACTAGTTTTCAGAGTGGTTACTAATGTAAATTTATATCATGTATCAATATTGATAGGAAAAACATATTCCCAGTGTTAGTAGTCACTCTTTTTCTGCCTCCAACACAAAATTTGTTCCTTCAGAGACTAGTGAAATTCTTGATAATAAAATAAGGATTTTGATCAAGAACAGCCTAGAGCTTAAAAATGTGATGTGAAAGCTTAGTAAAAATCATGCCTCATGTTATTTTTCAGTACTCATACCCAAATTAATGTCAGCCTGGTTTTCCATGGAACGCATTCTTGGAGTTAATGTAAAAACATAAATCCTACTTCCTATATTTCTTAAAGGATTTTATTGAATATATGAATCTAATATATTAATTTGACATAGCTGAAGCTGTGGGTTTTAAAAATTTGAAAAAGGTGTAAGAAGTAATATAAAAAGAAGATAGATACCACATACCAGGAATAGCTTCATTTTCCATAAATAGAAATATGTTAAATTGTATCCTATATGAATTTAGTGTACTACACTTTGTAAGATTTTAAAATATTTTATTCTAGATTACACTTCTTTGGTATGCTAAACATTTTGTTCAGTGATGACCAATAATGTCCTTATCTGAATTCATTTTAAATGCTCTTAGCAAACATAAACATATATTTAGTTACAGAATGAAGTAATTTATGTAAAGCAGTAGAGTGCCTAGTACAAAGCAAGTACTTAATAAATATTATTTGTTGTTATAATTGTTGTAAAATTGATGATTTCAGTAGCATAGTCTCAATTTGGAGGGATTTTGTAATGCAAAAGAGCCAAGTTAAAGATAGGTGGAATATGTATGTGTTCAGAGGTTTTAGATATAGATATATTAATGGGAACATTCATATAAATAAAAATTACATTAGCTATTCCTGAAAATGGAAGCAAAGAAAGTTCATTGTGGAGTCCTAAGCAAGGAGAACAGAACTAGAGCTGTGGCAGTGAGGAAAGAGCTGTGTGCAGAGTTGGGATTTTCCCCATAGCCCTGCACCACAGGAGGGGAGCCACTGGCAGAGCCTCTGAGGGTGGACAGAAACGCTGGATGCTTTCTTTTTGTAGTTTGTAGTATTCACCAGTGAAGAAATGGCAAAGCATGCTTAGAAAAATTGTGATCTAAAAGTTTATATCCTACAGACTAGAAGTGTTCTCACACATGTGCATATATGGATTGCAGGAGAAGCTGCACTTGGAGATATCTTTTGACAGCATCAAAAGACTAGGTTTGAAGCCTTTCATGCATGACCATTCAAATGGCACTACTTTGGTAGACATTGTCCCAAAAGACACAGGTGTCTGCCTCTCCACTCCTGACAGAGCTGCTCCTGAGCAGTAAGGGACTCTTACTGGATTTAATTGCAGGTGGCTGCCATCTCTCCTTGAAGTACACAGTACACGTAACAAAAAATAATACAATCACTTCCAGGGTGATACCTAGTTTACCATAATTCTTCCTCCATTTTGTGCAAATAATCAAATTTATTTTCTGAAATGAACTACTTGTGTCCATCACCGTGTCCATTGGTGACACATCATTGGATGAAGGCTTCGTGTTCTTTAATATGGAAAAAAACCCAAAAATCTTTTCATGTCATAGGTGGATACTGTAGACTCAGAACACATTTTATAGTATGCATTTGTTGTAATGAACTTGAAGGGGCAATTTTTCCATCAACTGATGTGTACATAATTGATCTCAAATTTATTTTGTTTGAATAATTCAATTAGAAGGAAAAGTAAGAGCTGTATCATGGGCAGTGGGCCCTGAAATTTGGGAAGGAACCTTCTAGTACAAAAGTGGGTGAAGGAGTTAACTAGGGATAAGTGACGAATTTCTTAATTATTGAAATTAAATTTAGAGTGGGTTTCATTTACAAAACAGTTGTCTTTCACCGTAGCTTGCACATGTACAGGTGCATATGGTTCATGGTAATAAACATGATATTGTATAAGGTAATGTTCTCAGGTTTATCAGTTAAGATAATTTGAATCTACTTTTTTTTAGTTTGTCTGTATAAATAAAGGCTTGCCATTTTTGTTGACCTTTCTAAAGAACCAAAATTTGATTGTTGATTTTCTCAAGTGTGTTTTTGTTAGTTGTAGAATGCTATTTTTATTTCATTCAAGTCAAAGTATTTTCTAACTTATCTCATGAGTACTTTTTGACCCAGTGGTTACTTAGCAGTATGCACACATTCTCAAATTTTTATAACTGATTTAAATTTTCCCTTATTGTGGCCAGAGGACATACTTTAAATAATCTCAATAATTTTAACTGTTGGGGTCTTTTATAGCTTAGAACATCATTTGTCCTAAAATGTTCTATGAGTATTCTGTTGTTGTGTTCTATATATGCCTGTTAGGCTTAGTTGTTTATGGTGTGGTTCTAGGCTTATATTTCCTTGATGACATTTGGCCTATTTCAACTTAGTTTTGAAAGTAGAAAGTCAATATCCTTATTATAGTTGAATTTTCTGTTTCTTCTTTCAATATCAGCTCTTTCTGCATTTGAGGGCTTTGTTATTAAGTATATGTACATTTATTCATTTTTTTCTGTTTAAATATTTTTGTCATTTAAAAATGACTTTCATATCTCTGGTAACATTTTCAACATTTATTTATTTATTTAGTCAGATCTTAGTATAGCCATTCCAACTTTCTTAGGGTTGCTGTTCACAAGCTATATCCCTTTGCCATTGTTTTGTATTCAATCTATTTGTATTTTTTGAATCTAAGGTACATTTCTCTAAACAGCTTATAGTTGTTTGCCTTTTTTTTTGCAGTACTGGGGATTGAACTCAGGACCTTGCCCTTGCATGGCAGGTACAGTGCCACTAAGCTAAATTCCTAGCCCTGTTTTACTTGTTTTTAATTCAGGCTGACAATGCCTCTGCCGTTTTTTTTTTTTTTTTTTTTTTTTTTTTTTTTT